CAGGGTTCAATTCTCCATTTGGCTATGGGAGCCCATTGGGTGACCTTGGGTGAGTCGCACACTCTCAGCCCCAGAACATCCCATTGTAGGTTCATTTAGGCTTGCCATATGACTTGAGCACAACATGTTATGCCATAGCTACATGGAGCCCCCAGTGGCGCAACCCTTGTGCTGGCAGGACTGCTGACTGAAAGGCCAGTAGTTTGAATCTGGGGAAGAGGTTCCAGTTTCTCATGTGGTGACATGAGGGAAGCCTCCCGCAGGATGGTAAAACATCCAGGCGTTCCCTGGGCAACGTTCTTGCAGACAGCCAATTCTCTCACACCAGAAGCGACTATATTACTTCAGGATGCACGATTTTACTCCAAACACCCCATTCAAGCATTAATTTATTTGCTACTACTTACATACTTTCCCCACCCTTTATCCAGTGAATTCTAAGCGATATTCATGAGTCTCCTCCGCTCCACATTATACTCACAACAATATGGGACAGGCTGAGAGAGGGTCACCCATCAAGTGGAGACTTGAGCCTGGATCTCCCAACATACAGTCCAGCAATCATGCTACTGTGCTTTCCCGCAAGCTTTGCTACAAGAGGTGTCCTTAGGAAAGTGACATTGTTATCCCATGGGTCATTTCAAGTTATCATAAAGCTTCAATTTCAAGATGGCAACCTTGCTATAAGTTGACTCTTGGAGGCATTTGCAACCTTGGCTTCAATGAGATGGTGCTCTGAGTACTTTTGAAGAATGAAAATTGGCCTTTAAATCGAATTTACTCAATTTTTGGTGGATTCTCTGACTCTCCATCATGCCTTGAGGACTACAACCCTATATCAATTACTTGCTCATGGTTCTCTTAAAGATGTCAACCCTTCTGTTCTGGATGGACAGGCTCTCAGAGTTTGTCAGTTCCCTCTCTAACCCCTACAAGTAAGAAATAGTTGCTGTTTCTTCCTCAGTTGTGTTTTTAGTGCTCGACTCTCTCTCTCTTCTTTATTTATTGATGGCCAGAGGCTCCTGTACTGTCGGATTGCATCAAGGAGATGAGGTTGCAACTCGGTCAGTGCAGCAGGAGTTGAGGGAAACGCTGCACAGCAGGACCACAACTGAAATTCAATGTTTTCTCCCACGAAATGACAGTGCAGAGGTTAGAACTCTATCGCTTGGTAGGAAGGCAAACCCAAAGGCTGCAAAGTCTCATCTCCACCTTGAATTTGTGACTTGTATGTCCCAGGAAGGGAGATAGTTTTCCTTTTCCAAATTAAATCTGTACTGTCGAATTAATGTAGTTTGATGCCACTTTAATTGCTATGGCTCAGAGCTGGGGAATAATGAAAGTTGTGAGACACTAGCACTCCTTGACAGAGAAAGCTAGACACTGTAAAACTACATCTTCTAGAAATCATCTCCAACTTTCACTCTAGCAACCATATTTGTTCATATTGACATTAACTTTCTTTCCTGGCTGGTTAATCACCTGGGACTAGCACTTCTTCACAACTGCTTCCTTTCAGCTATTAAAGCAAGGCATGTCTGACCCTATTTACTGCTGGAATGAGCAATTGCTTTAGGTCACCTTCACGGAGCTTGTGAAAGTTACTTTTTTGGAAGACCACTCTCAGAACTCCCCCCTTCCTCAGCCAGCATGGCCACTGGGAATTAAAATCCATACCCAGACTATTCATTCATCCAGCCTTGTATCATCTACTCTAATGCCTCCTAACATGATGCGTTCTGGATTTGTTAGACTCCAAATCCTCTGGAGTCCAGCCAACTTCTTATCCCATTAAACTTGGAGTAAACACTGCCCTCTTATAAACTAGACCCACACCTTATGTGAATCACTGCCCCTCCCTGCAATATCTTGCTTATCTAAAAGAGAGAGCGAGCTGTCAGTCCATGATTCTGTATTTATTTCTTTTTTTTTACTCCTCATGTCTTATATGGGATTGCAGAATAACCCCAAATCTATAATTGTCCACGTGAGTAGCTGAGAAAGTGACACGTTTGCTTTCTGATAGTTCAATGTACACAAAGTCTCATGCCCCCAAAGAATAAAAATATTGTGTGGAATTACCGTCAGATTCCTTTATGAAACATGAATGAATATTGTGTTTAGACATGGGTCCCATTTCTCATTATCTACATAAATTCAAATACAAGTCTCTCTCTTTAAAAAAATGACAAATCCAAAGCCGTTCTCATCTCAGGCCTTTTGGATAAGGGATACTCAACCTGTACTTCAATCTCCAATTTCCGTTCCCCAAAAAAGTTAATTAAAGGTCATATACTGTTTTTAAGTAATGTATGCTCCAGAATTTGATTGGTATATACTGGGAGGTGGCTGGAGGGTTATTTCTTTCTCTTTTTTTACAGCAGCAACCTTTGCCTGTTGGATGTGGCTCTGACGCAAAGGTGACCGTCCGTGGCAAGTTGAGCGCTCTTCCTTTCCTTCCTGGTTCCGTTAAGAGGATTTCTCTCAAATCCTCGCCATAGGCTGGCTCTGTGCGGCTTAGGCCTTATCTTGCGTGTGCTTTGTGGGGGTTGGGAGCAGTGGGCCACGCGACCTCCCCTTCAGCGGGTGGCCTGCCCGTTGGTGAATGGGGATCCGTCTTTCTGTAAGGAGGGGGGGATGCAGCGTATGTACAGAAGCGGTACATCCAAGAGAGTGCTTGGGTGTGCACTACTCTTTGCCTGCAAGAGCCTCATAATCCCAGTTACACATGGGTTGAGCATGCCTTATCCGGAATTCCAAAATACTCTGAAATTGTCCACTTGAGTTGCTGAGATAGGAACACTTTTGCTTTCTAATGGTTAGGCAAAAAATATTCAGAGGTGGTTTTGCCTGTTCCTCCTCTATCTCCTGAAATATGGTCATTAGATTGGCTCTCAATTCCGGTAAAAACAAATATTTGAATCAGGGATTTCTGAACACAAATCCCCAAATCTGAATTTTAAAACATTGGCCTGAATTTTATTACTGTTTGCGCATCCCTTATCTGAAATTCCAGAAACCAAAATACTCCAAAATTGGCCACTTGGGTGGCAGAGATAGTGAAACCTTTGCTTTCTGATGGTTCAGTGTACACAAACTTGGATTTCCTGCACAAAATTATTAAAAACATTGTCTGCTGTTACTTTCGGGCTGTGTGGATAAAGTAGATATGAAACATACCGTAAATAAAAATCCAAAATACTGTACTTCTGGGCCCAAACATTTGGAGTAAAGGATATTCCTTCTGTATTGTTTGCATTAAAGTAACAGATTCCAGAAAAAAACTTAAGAGTTCTGGATGTGCTGAGAAGAAAGCTGCCTGCAGTTCACATTTTCTTTAAGGAGTGTGGCAGCCAAAGAAGCATTGGTTCCTTTGAATGTCAAAAACGGTTAAGGCCATTATGGTCTCTTTCTTTCCAAAACTTCTTCACCAACTGTGGAGAGTTTTTATTTCTCTCTAAAAATACAGCGCAGTGCTTAGAAACATCTTGATAGTTTTGTTCATTTGTGATCATGATGAGGACTAGAAGCTTAGATGTTTTACCTTTAGCTAGCTTTTGGAATCTGTTAAATGGCTACAAGTGGATAGGACTACACGGAACTTTAATATAATCTTTTGATAGTAAAGGTAAGGTTTTCCCCAGACATTGTGCAGTCATGTCTGACTCTGGGGTGTGGTGCTCATCTCCATTTCTAAACCGAAGAGCCAGCGTTGTCCGTAGACACCTCCAAGATCATGTGGCTGGCATGACTGCATGGAGCGCCGTTACCTTCCCGCCGGAGCAGTACCTATTGATCTACTCACATTTGCATGTTTTCGAACTGCTAGGTTGGCAGAAGCTGGGCCTAACAGCGGAAGCTCACACTGCTCCCTGGATTCGAACATGTGACCTTTCGGTCAACAAGCTCAACAGCTCTGCAGTTTAACCCACTGCACCACTGAATTTCATTTCGTTTCTAGGGAGAAGCAGCACCCTCTTGCAGCCTTATCTTGGTTATTTACATTTGAATCGTTGTTTATGGTCTTTAAACAAAAACAAAAAAAAAACCCAAACCCTTCATCCATAAAGCCGGAAAGAAATTCTGGTTGCTTGGAGAAAATAATATCTCAGCGCATGTGACCGCACAAATAACTATTTTTAAATCTGCAAAAATTTGTGCCAGCGTCATTTGAAGTCATGTTCAAACAGAAGTTACCTGGATAACATAATAACAGTCGGGGAGCAGGCTCAGCTTGCTTTACTTCGTTAAAATAAAAAAGTTTCATTTCTCTTTGCCTTATCTTGCAGATTGGTGCAAAGATTTTCTGTTTCTGAGAGGCAGTGACAAGCTTTAGGATGTTCATGAAAGCCAAGACTTCAATTTTAGTGCACAACAGGGTGGGGAAAGTGTATCATCTCAGTGCAGTTTTGCGGCCCTTTAGTTTGATTGGGGAGGAGTGTCCCCAAATACCACATTTTGAGGGGTTCCCTTGATAATGTAAGTCTTGACGTTGATTTCTAGGCCACTTTCTGTTGTGACAAGATCCAAAATTACTCCCTTATAAACACATTGAATTACCCTCTGTATTAATTCAATGTGTGTTTATAAGGGAGTAATTGAATTACCCTCTGTATTGGAGCCCTCGGTGGCGCAGTGGGTTAAACCCCTGTGCCGGCAGGACTGAAGACCGACAGGTCGCAGGTTCGAATCCGGGGAGAGGCAGATGAGCTCCCTCTACCAGCTTCAGCTCCTCATGTGGGGACATGAGAGAAGCCTCCCACAAGAATGATAAAAACATCAAATCATCCAGGCGTCCCCTGGGCAGCGTCCTTGCAGACGGCCAATTCTCTCACACCAGAATTCTCTCACGACTTGCAGTTTCTCAAGTTGCTCCTGACATGACCAAAAAAAAAAAAACCCTCTGTATTCAGTAGGGGCATTCAGTGGCTAAAGGTATTCAGGCTGCTATGTAGGTTGCCCTGTCCAAATTATAATGAAGCTTCGATCCTTTTTTCCAGGACCAAAACCGCCGTCACGCTGAAGCGCCACAGGTAGCCTCGTTCAGGACGGACCCTTCTGGCCTTTGACCATTTTGCAGGTAAGCCTGTAATCTTTCCTTTTGTGGGCAAAGCAAGGATATGTTGCACTGGCGTTGCCTTCCAGTCGCTGAGACTTGATGCCCGTTTTAAGTAGAAGTGAGCATCATAATGGCATGCTATTCTTAAGTGCGTCTATGAGTGAGAAATGTGGCATTCAGAAAGCCTAGATGGAGTTTTTTAAATCCCCACACTTCTATTTCAATCTCTTAATTGTGGCTCCCAACCTTTGTTTGTCATGTGTTTTGGAATTCTGCTCCCAGAATTCCTGATGGTTTAGGGAGTTGAAATCCCGAAAGCTTGGAGCTGCTTTAGAAGACTCGGTTTCACTTGTATAGACATAGAGAAATAAAATAAATGGATGATGGGGGTCATTTTTATTAAGAATTAAGAGATCAAGATAACCAGTAACCAAACTCTAGGACACTCAGTTTCCAGGTATTTTTTTCCTGTCTTGTTCAATGTTTTTGGTGGAAAACAAAAATAATTATTCAGGCAATTCATGTATTTTAGAAGAGGCTACATTGACCCATCCATGGTCATTGGAAGACTATATTTATCCACCATGCACTGATCTACCCCCTAGGTTTAAAAAAAAAACTTTTGCTGTATTTCCTCTAAAATACGTTTCTGGATGGCCTTGTTGGTAAAGGCTATTTATAAGCAGGAGATGAACTTAAAATGGACATGAGCTACACTTCCCCACTTTTGCTATATATCAGTGAAACTGTTGGGGAGTGGGCTTATTAACAAAAGACCCTCATAAATGTACAGCAGAGTAACTTATTAGCAGCAATGTGACCCAGCACCAGTAGTGATAAAAAGAACAAAAACACACAGACCAATGTTATCACTTCCATAGGAGGCTTTTCTTTGTAGTAAAATAATATGGTTGCATTATTTACAGTAACAAGGTTTCCATAATAGAAATAAAGTTCTATATATTTCTTTCTTTCCTACCACACTAGGCTTCTTTCTCATGCAGATAAACAGCTTTGCTCTCACAGAGCATTCTCTCGCACCAAAGTTACACAGGAGCTTCACACAGTACCTTTTTACACACAGCAGCCTTCATACTGGAGCTTTACACACAATGGCCTTCAACCTGGGGCTTCCCTCAGTGAAGCTTCTCACACCAGGCCTTCTCAAACTCAGTGAAGCTTCTCAAACAGGCCTACTAACACTGAGGCCTACCTCACACTGAGGCCTTTTTCCCACTGAGGGCTCTCTCAGACTGATGCTTCTTATATACTGAGGCGAACTAACACTGAGGCGTTCTCATATTGAGGCCTACTAACACACTGAGGCCCTTCTTCCACAGAGACCTCTCACAGACTGAGGGTACTAAGATACAGACACATATAGAACTACAGGTTTTGCTGAGTCATTGCTGCATCCATTTGACTCTTTCAGTGCTTGACTCACATTTTTGTAATTAAACATACCTAGTTAATTTTTAATATTTCTGACAAAGGATACCAGCTGATCTCTGAGAAGTTACTTTCCTAGACAACTACTTCCACAGTTTTCCAGTCGCCATGGCTGGGGAATTCTGGAAATTGTAGTCCAAAAGAGTAACTTCTCTGAGCTCTGGTGCAGAAAACAACTTCAGAGAATAGAGCATGACTGTTCTGGGCCAGTTGGATGATGTCCTGTGAGGTATGGTTAGTGCTTAACTACTGTTTTTATCGCCTTTCTTTTGCTAAAACCAGTGGAATACCGGAAACGCGCAAATCTGGGTTTGAAACTATGAGCTCGGTAGCAGTGTTAACACCTGAAAGCTTTGCTGAGCACCGCAGCGGCTTGAGGGATGAAGAAACACGAGGTAAGATGGTCAGGAGTCTGGGGTGTGGTGGGAGCTTCTAAGCATTTGTTACAAGAAGTGATATTGGAGGGTAAGGATCTCAGAATCCTAAATCCTGGAGGAATATATTGTGAAAAATGGAGGAAAGTTGTTTTCTGCTGCCTTAGGAACTAAAACACAAAATGATGGATTTAAATTCCAAAAAATATATATAAAAGAGATTGAGATTCCACCTAAATGTTAGAACATTTTTTTCACTGTAAGAGCAGTTTGACATTAAAATAGATTGCCCTAGAGGGTGGTGGACTCTCCAGTTTTGAAGCTCCTTAATTAGAGGTTAGATGGGAATCTTTTAGGAGTTCTTTAGTTGTATATTCTTGGTCTATGGTTATGTGTAATATATGAAAGAAAAAAATCTATTTTCTTCTGGAAGAATGGGCCTGCAACCAAGTGACACATTTGTTCTAAAGAACAGTCTTTCTCACTAAACACATTCTTTTCACTACTAATTTCCCCCTGGCTCCCTCAAAGTAGGTCTAAGGTAAATATATTTTTACTATTAGTTTTAGATCTAACATAATCTATTACAAATTTCCCACATATCAATAAGTTGATCTTAATCTTGTACCCGCTCCCAAGTATAAAGTACCATATATACCCGAGTATAAGCCGACCTGAATATAAGCCGAGGTACCTAATTTTACCACAAAAAACTGGGAAAACGTATTAAATCGAGTATAAGCCGAGGGTGGGAAATGCAGCAGCTACTGGTAAATTTCAAATAAAAATACATAGCAATAAAATGACATTAATTGAGGCATCAGTAAATTAAGTGTTTTGAATACTTTCACAAAACTAATTTGAGATAAGATTGTCCAACTCTGATTAAACCATTATTCCAACTAGGTTCTTGTGGGTTTTTTCGGGCTATAGAGCCATGTTCTGGAGGCATTTCTCCTGACGTTTCTCCTGCATCTATGGCAAGCATCCTCAGAGGTAGTGAAGTCTGTTGGAATTAGGACAATGAGGGAAGCCTCCCGCAGGATGGTAAAACATCCAGGCGTTCCCTGGGCAACGTTCTTGCAGACAGCCAATTCTCTCACACCAGAAGCGACTATATTACTTCAGGATGCACGTGCTTTTCATGTTCCTTGATGCGTGTCTGGGCGCAGCACTGCACTGCAGACTACTTCAACCAGAGAAGTCAGCCATAGCAGAGCACCTGATGAACCAGCCTGGACACAGCATATTATTTGAGAACACAGAAATGCTGGACCACACCAACAACCACCATGTCAGACTACACAGAGAAGCCATTGAAATCCATAAGCATGTGGACAATTTCAACAGAAAGGAAGAGACCATGAAAATGAACAAAACCCACAAGAACCTAGTGATTCCAGCCATGAAACCCTTCGACAATACATTATTCCAACCTTCTTCAATGTAAATGTGCTGACATATCCTTCCAATAATAGAGTAAAATAATAAATGTATCAATAACAATAATAATACATTAAAATAATAATGTATATTAATAATAGAGTAAAATAATAATGTCGTACTAATAGTAAATAGAATAAAATAATAAAGGTGGTAAAATAATAGAGTAAAATAATAAATGTAATAACAATACTAATAGAGAAAATAATGTAAATGTAATAATAATAATAATAATAATAGTAATTAGAGTAAAATAATCCATATAATAATAATAACAACAACAGAGTAAAATAATAAATAACTTTGACTCGAGTATCAGCCGAGGGGGAGGCTTTTTTCAGCCTAAAAAGAAGGCTGAAAACCCTAGCTTATACTCAAGTATATACGGTACCTCTTGTTAGATATCTGAGAAAGTAGCAAACCATGGACCAACTGTGGTATCAGTAAACTCAAAAAGTGTGTTACCCCATACTAAAAAAATCTGTTCAAAATAGTGTGTAAAAGGATCCTTTTTCTAAAGATTTCCTAAAAGACTTCCTCACTCTATTCTCTGGTTTCCCCGCTTATTGCTTTCTTATTATAACCATTTTTTAGCAGGAATATGTTCTTGTTGTGCAATCTCTTTCTCTCACTCCTTTTCTGCTGGGCAGGTGGTGTCCCAGAGGATGAGGCCTACATCCCCACTTACTTGGAAGCTTTCCCTCCGCTCCCGGAAAAGGGAGCACCTGGGGAAAAATCCAGTGAGCTTACGGGAGTATGGAACAAAATCCGGCCTATCAAATCCTCTGTCATCACCCAGGTGAGTACTTGTTAGGCTATGGAGACTCTTGCTTTCACTCTGGGAAGGGTTTTCCTGGCATGCCTCAGGGAGTCAGAAAGTTCCCCCTGGGGCAGATGGAAACTGTGCTCTCCAGTGTTGTTGGACATGCTTCTTTACCTTTGTTGGTGAAAGAAGACATAGTAACCCATCGTAGCAATATTGGGTGCTGCTTTTAAAGGACCTGAGAGATTTGAAGGCACATGACAACAACAATAAGAAATAGGGGGGAAAGTTAAAAGTTGAAAGCTTCCTAGTTGAAAGAAAATGACTTTTGAAGAATATGATAGGCTTAGGAATATGGAGTGGGGAAGAATAGGTAGGCATTTTCAATCCTATACCATTAGATCTCATAGAATCAAAATGGTTCCATGAAAAACTTCATGGAATCCTCTTTTTTAAAAGGGGATGGGTTTGCTTTTAATAAAGGATTAGACAAAGATGGATAGTCTCTCAGTGACTGCTGGGCATAATATCTAAATGTGACCTCCACTTTCAGAGGTGGTATATCTCTGAATATCAGATACCAAGGACAAATGTGGGATATCAATTGTTTTATTTCCAAGTTAGGGGGATTTCAGGAAATATTTAGTGAGCTAATGTCACAGTATGGACTCCTGATCTCATTGAGTAGGTCTGTTCTTAAATTCCGAATAGTAGCTTTATAGTCATGGCTCCTGGGTTCTGCTTGGCAGGTGTTTCATGTCCCCTTGGAAGAGCGACGCTACAAGGACAACAGCCAGTTTGGAGAAGGCGACGAGGCCAAAGTTTGTGTGGATATCATGCAGAAGACCGGAGCTCACATTGAGCTCTCTTTGGCCAAAGATCAGGGCCTGTCCATCATGGTAACCGGCAAACTGGACTCTGTCATGAAAGCTCGGAAGGAAATAGTCGCTCGGCTTCAGACCCAGGTGTGTGTCCAGCTCTTCTGCTCCATGAACCCACATCTTCTGCCCTCTCCCGGTACTGTCTTTGAATCCCTCAATATCACTGTCATTTCACCCTCTTTGTGCAGGCTTCAGCTACTGTCACAATCCCCAAGGAACACCATCGCTTTGTGATTGGCAAAAACGGCGAAAAATTGCAGGAGCTCGAGCTGAAAACGGCCACCAAGATCAACATCCCACGACCTGACGACCCCAGCAACCAGATCAAAATCACGGGCACCAAGGAAGGCATTGAGAAGGCTCGGCATGAGATTTTGCTCATCTCGGCTGAACAGGTGAGTGGCTGGTAATAAGTTCTCTTTACCCACTTCCTTCTGGCGGAGGAAGGTTGGCATGAGAAACTGCACTGGAGGTGGTTAGTCCAAAGCAAGTTGGGGTTGTAGCTTCTCCTCTTGGTTTTAAACTACCGTATATACTCAAGTATAAGCCGACCCGAATATAAGCCAAGGTTCCTAATTTTACCACAAAAAACTGGGAAAACATATTGACTCAAGTATAAGCCAAGGGTGGCAAATGCAGCAGCTACTGGTAAATTTCAAAATAAAGTCAGATGCCAATATAATTACACTAATCGAGGCATCAGTAGGTTAAATGGCTTTGAATATTTACATAAAGCTGTAATTTAAGATAAGACTGACCAACTCCAATTGTACCAGTATTCTAACCTTCTTCAGTATAAATACATCTATGTATCCTTCCAATAATAAGAGTAAAATAATAAGAGTAATAAAATAGTAGAATAAAATAATGCAAATCTAATAATAATAATAATAATAATAGCAAAATAATAAATGTAACAAAATAATAGAGTAAAATAATGTAAATGTAATAATAACAATAGAGTAAAATAATAAATGTAATAAAAATTATAATAATAACAGTGCAATAATAAATAACCTTGACTTAAGTATAAGCTGAGGAGGACTTTTTCAGCCTAAAAAAGGGCTGAAATTTTCAGCTTATACTCGAGTATATATGGTAACTAGTATTTCAATCAGAATAAGCACACTGTAGGGTGGGGAACATGGGACTGTGTGTAGCCCCAAAGGTCTCATGCACTGGTACCCCATTAAAGAAATAATAAATATGGAGAATCACACTTCATGGGACATTAATTTCCTATAAGACAAATGCACTCTCCCCGTGTTATTTGTTTGTGCCCCAACAACTCCCACCCACCAGTGATTTTTAGTCTTGATTTTCAGCATTTCTTGGGAGGTCAGAAAAGCTCCTTCCTGATTTTCAACCCCAATTCTTAGTTAAAAGATGAATAAATTCCATGCCAGTCACCATGGATAAAGTCTATTTTTTGAACTAATTATGTGGGTGCTTTCAAGCCACCAGTTGACTTAAGGCAACCCCAATAATTCCATAGGGTTTTCTTAGGCAAGGAATGTACAGAAGTAATTTTACCACTTCCTTCCTCTGAAATACAGGCTACAGTGGCTGAAATTCATTGAATAGCATGATGAAGCACTCTTATGGAATAGGGTATTATTCAAAACATCTTATTCCAGAAGACTGCTTCATCGTGTTATGGCTTAAGTACAGAGTTTGTAGGAGTGAAATAAGAACAGTTTGGGCACCTAGGAGCATTGTAGATTGAATATTGGATTATGACTCTGAAGGCCAGGATTTGAGCCCTTCTCATCCATGAAACCCACTGGGCAAGTTTGAGCAAGTCATACTCTCTCAGCCTCATAGGAAGGTGATTGCAAACCTCTCCTGAACAAGTCTTGTCATTCATTGGTTTTGTGTCTTTCATAAAGCATCAGACTGCTACTGTTCCAACTGTTTTCTTCAAAAGGAAGCTTACCCGAGGGATCTCCTAGGAGATTGTTTGAACAAGGAAGGAGGAGTTAACCTCAACTATGTCTCCAGAGGAGGGGCTGAGTAAAGCACACTGAAGTTTGCTTCTCAAGTGTTGAATGTGTGTCCCAAAGGAGAAGAAACCTTTGGGGAAATTCAGATGGTTGTGGTTTCCCAAATGGGCCCATGGTTTTCTGTTGTGTCCCAGGATAAACGGGCAGTGGAGCGCGTGAACCTGGAGAAGGCCTTCCACCCTTTTATTGCTGGCGCCTTTAACAAAGTGGTCCAGGAGATCATGCAGGACACAGGGGCTCGAATCAACATCCCTCCGCCCAGTGTTAACAAGGATGAGATCATCATCACAGGCGAAAAGGAACCGGTCTCCCAGGCTCTCCTGCGAATCCGCAAGATCTATGAGGATAAGGTGAGTAACTGAGAACTTACTCAGCTGAGGAAAGGTGCAATGCTTCTTCTTAGAAAATATGGGAAGTTTTTCACTTTGAGAAAAAAATGGCAATCATAACCTTTTTGAAAAGGAAAAATGATGTCTTGTCCTTTTTGCAAATGTGAATCTCCATGAACATCTGGAGACCACCTTTTGAAAACCACTAGTCAAGAAAAGGCATGACCTTGTTAGAAGTCAGCTCTTTGAAAAAGTGATGTTCACAAGTATTCATGTAATGGCACACAAGTAACTCACCTGCTAAACTGATGCACCATGTCTTTGAACTGCCAGGGACAAAGACATGCCACTGCATAAAAATATATTTGGCTAGCAGAGTTTTAAAATGTTTCTTTGAAGTTGAAGTTGAAATTGCAGCTGCAAGTGCCCAAAACGTATACTCTCCCTTGAAACCTCTTAGTTTAAAATGTGTACTCAGAGATTTTAAAAAAACAAACAAAAGTTTTCTTTGAAAAATAACATATCTTGTTTACTTACAACAAGATATGTTATTGTGAGTAAACAAGATTAATTGTATTCACCATATAGGCACTTATTAAAGTTCAGTTATAGATAGGATGTATTTTCTCTGTGTTCAGAACACAGGGCATCATTCTTAATCAGTAGTCCATTGCCCAAAGTTTTGACGTATACATCTTAAGAAAGTCCAGACTGTATAATTGTACTCACTGCTTCTCAAAGTAAACATATAGTAAAGTGTTCCTGCATAAATCCAAAAAGCATACTGTTTCCATTGAAGTCCAAAAACATACTGATAACAAGATGGAGTCTTGACTCTGAACATGCTTAGTACAATCACATGTCTGTAGCCCCTCCCACACCAAAGAGGTTAGTCAAACTGGCAAATCAACATATACTTACAATACAGTTTATCAAATATATACATTAACAAACAAATAACGAAGGCTTGGAAGGTTGCTATTTCCAAACATTCATACCTTCCAAATATCCATCAAGCTCTCTAAGAAGCCTTTTTGGGGCAAAAAATAATTTAGGGTGGGGGGAAGGCACACCAAGGGCAGTCCAGGAACCATATGCAACCACATTTTGCCTACGCCAATTTTCTTAGTGCTGACTTTTGGACACTTTTCAGTGACCTCATTCATTTTCTTTTTTAGAAGCGCAAGACAACCACAATCTCCGTAGAGGTGAAGAAGTCTCAGCACAAATACATCATTGGCCCCAAGGGCAACACCCTGCAGGAGATTCTGGATGCCACCGGGGTTTCGGTGGAGATGCCACCCCTTGAAAGCAGCTCGGAAACCATTATCCTCCGGGGAGAACCAGACAAGCTTGGCCCAGCTCTGACCCAAGTCTATGCCAAGGTAAGGGCTTCCATTCTGCTCCGAACCCTTACTCAGCAAGCCACTTGAGAAATGAGGACGGTTTGACTACCGTAGTGTATGGATGGGACAAATTCCAGGAGCATCATTGGTGGTCAGATGTTTTTATTTGCAATGAAGAAGGAAGCTTTCAATTTAGTTCTTTCTAGATGAGTGTGTGTGCAGTCAGCTCTCTACATTAGCGAGTGCAGTGCTTGTGAATTTGAATATTTGCAAATTTGATTAATCTGTTCTCTTTAGGAACCTCTAGGTCAGTGTTTCTCAACCTGGGGATCGGGACCCCTGGGGGTAGCGAGAGGGATTCAAAGGAGTCGCTGAAGACCATCAGAAAACACATATTTCTAATGATCTTAGGAACCTCCTTGGCAGAGAAGGCTGAAGATCTCTCCACCTGTCCCTAAACAGAAATGCCTAAACACCTTAGGAGGGTATTTACCAGAGCTCGTTTTGAACAGCTGGATACAATGGACAAGCATGGAAGGTTTAATCAAGTCCCATACAACGAACGATTTTGTATTTGTGGAGCACCAGAGGTGGAGGATATCACACATGTATTGTTCAACTGTGAGCTGTATAAGAAAGAGAGAGACCATTGCCTTGGACCATACATTATTCAAAAAACACACTGGGACCCATATATTAAAACCTCATTTTTGTTGGCCGGCCAGAACCCTAAAATAACACACAAAACAGCCCTTTTTCTATTCAAAGCAACACAGCTGAGAATTGCACATTTAGAATCAATTGGGGTAAACTGTGGAGGTGACGCAGACATTTGACCTGAACGAGATCTTGTTAACAGCTTGTTTATTTTAACTTCTTTTATACCGAGGGTTGTATGTTGTATGTATGACTATGTATGACTATGTGTTAATTGTCCTATGTGTTAAATGTTTTGATACGGCCAATAGGCCAGTCAATAAAACGTATCTATCTATCTGTCCCTGTTTCCCTTTTTGGAGAGGGCTGCTCATGTGCAGGCAAGGGAGAATGTGCAAGGATGGAGGGAGGCTCATACCAGCAAGTCCCTTCAAGGCAGGGGGGTTCTGTGTGGGAAGTTTGGCCCAATTATATCATTAGCGGGGTTCAGAATGCTCTTTGATTGTAGGTGAACTATAAATCCCAGCTGCTACAACTCCCAATTGTCAAGATCCCCAAACTCCTCCAATGTTCATATTTGGGCATATTGAGTATTTGTGCCAAGTTTGCTCCAGACTATCATTGTTTGATTCCACAGTGCTTTTTGGATATAGGTGAACTACAACTCCAAAACTCAAGGTCAATGCCCACCAAACTCTTCCAGTATTTTCTGTTGGTCATGGGAGTTCTGTGTTCCAAGTTTGGTTCATTTCCATCGTTAGTGGAGTTCAGAATGCTCTTGGATTGTAGGTGAACTACAAATCCCAGCAACTACAACTCCCAAATGACAAAATCAATCCCCCCCAACCCCACCAGTATTCAAATTTGGGCGTATCTGGTATTATTGCCAAATTTGGTCAAGTGAATGAAAATACATCTCGATATTTACATTACAATTCATAAAAGTAGCAAAATTACTGTTATGAAATAGCAACGAAACTAATGTTATGGTTGGGGGCCACCACAACATGAGGAACAGGGGTGGGGGGTTGCAGCATTAGGATGGTTGAGAACCACTGCTGTATTTATTCATTTTTCTCACAAATTCATTACTTTTGTTGGCTGTATTTTGTGGCTTGAGCTGAATGCCAAAGCATGCGTCACCATAGTGGCATCTACAGGTAGAACATAGCCATTGCAACATTTAAATTATAAGGAAGAAACAATATGGGACTCTAAAGAGGATGTGGAAATCTGCGTATAAACTGAATTCTCAGGTTCATCACTGGCATTAACCGTGTAAATGTCTCTTGTCTTCCTTTCCTTCTCCAGGCGAAGAGTGTGATGGTAGCTGAAGTAACAGCCCCAGCCTGGTTACATCGTTTTATAATTGGAAAGAAAGGACAGAACATTGGCAGGATTACCCAACAGCTTCCCAAGGCAGGTGTTTGTAATGCCTTTGCTCTGCGTAAATAAATAAACACGACGTGCTTTGCAACAGTGCATGAAAATTTTAATGCCAAAGTGTGTCTTCTTGTTGCTTTGACAGAAAGTGGTATGTTCCATCTGGTAATGGCCATGAAGCCCGGCTGGATTGGAGTACTGGAGGCTGCATTTGAATGCCTCTTGATTCTCCTTGGTGAATTTGGAGAAGGACCTAGCAAATCAGCCCACAAGTTCCCAATTAGTCTACAAGTTTTAATTAAATTTCCAAAGCATGCTTGTGTCAGTTAATGCAGTTAATGAAAAGGAAACCGCTACAGAATTTGCTTCACTTGTCATCTAGAGGACTGGTTCTCGGCTTGTGGGTCCCCAGATGTATTGGCCATCAACTCCCAGAAATCCAAACAGCTGGTAAACTGGCTGAGATTTCTGGTAGTTGGAGGCCAAAACACCTGGGGACCCAC